GGGATCACAGCCCAAATGAGGCCCCTGGGGCCACGGCAGTCACCACCTCCACTAACTCCATAAAAAGCACCAGGAAGAATTTGGGGGAAGTTCTAGTTATGTACCTGGACCACTTCAGGGCTCCGACATTCAGTCAGTTAGCATTACCCATAGGCAGCCTTTATTCTTGATTTTCGTAGGTTTTTCTTTTGGCTAAGAGATTGGCAAAGGCCATTGAACTTGAAACCAGTCCTAGTTCTGCCTTTTGCTGTCCGAGTGACCTTGGTTGGTCACTTTACTTCTCTGAACCTCATTAACCCTATTGACATTAGCTGGGTTTGAGGAGGACACCAGGTTTTGGAAGGAAAAGAGGGTAAGCAACAGAGAAGGTGTTGCTGTTAATGACATCCTCAGGCCACTGAGGCAAAGGGATTTCAGGGTAAATCTTAGTCCTGAGTCTTGTAGCTACTTTAGAGTGTACATGGAGCAGCCACAGTTCCTGCAGTGGGTACAAGTACCACAAGGGGGCGTCCTGAGTCTTGTTTACTCTACCTTGATGACAAATTTTCCATTTTTCTGTGGCTATATTCCAAATTGAACAAAGATTTATGGTTTGTAGTTTACCTAGCTGATGTAATAAACTTTTTTTTGCCTGTTTTTTTGAGACAGGGCCTTGCTATGTAATCCAGACTGGTCTTGAACTTGTGGTCTTTCTGCCTCAGGGTTGAGTACCTGGGACTGCAGGCATACACCACCATGCCTGGCTTAATGATTTAATAAACATGTAAAATAAATTCATGTGCATATATCAGTTTCTCAGTCATGTGGATATGATACCATGCCCCGTTATAACAAAGCCTCCAGGGAGGGTGGTGGTGTAGGGGGAGCTGAGAGGGGATTCTATTCTGCTTCAGCCACTGCTGGCTTGGGACAAGTTTCCCAAGCATGGACAGTGCTGCATTCCCCACATCCAGCCTCACAGGGATGTTACGAAATGGACACAGTGGGAAGAAAAACAACTTCAAGGTCAAGAACATGGTTCACAGGCCCTCTTACCTCCAGCGCTTGGCCTTCTACTTGACCCTCTTCCCTCAGGGGCAGAGTTGGGGTGGGCGAGAGATGAGTCCAGCTGTTAAACCGTGACCTCAAGAACAGTATTTCCAGGAATCCCCATCTTAGCATCCAAGGGATTCCTGGGAAAACTGGACCGTGAGGACAAGGTGGGAGAGTGGCCTTCAGCACCAAGGCCTGCCCTGTCCCTGTGAGCCAGGGGAGCGGCCGGCGGGGGCGCCACTCACAGGATGCGGCTTCCTGCTCTGGGAAGAGCAGTGACTGGAATTTGAGTGCCCTGGAAAGTACCTTCCCATCACCAAGGCGGCCTGGTGAGCTTGTTGATCAGAAACCATCTGGGACCTCAGTCCCCAGCTGCACCCCCAATCCCCTTAGCTACCCTGGCTCAAGTGTACCCCAGTCGCTAGCCAGAGGGTGAATAGGGCACATCTACATTTTTCTTTTCTTTTTTTTTTTTTGTACTAAGGATTGAACCCAAGGCCTTCATAGTGAGCTACAGTCTTAGTCCTGTTTTTATTTTTTATTTTGATACCTGGTCTTGCTAAATCATTAAGTGGCCCAGGCTGGGCTAGAACTCTTAATCCTCTTGCCTCTGCCTTGTAGAGGGCTGGCATTACAGGCGTGTACCATCACACCCAAGTTGGCAACTTTCTCTGATGACCTCCAGCAAGTCACAAGCCCTGAACCATGGCCTGTAAATGGGACAGACGGTACAGGTCCTATGGAACAGCTGAGTTGATAGGATAGGATGTGGGGTGAGCCCATACCATTAATGGAGGTGTCTGGGTCTGCTTTTGTGAACAGTAACTCTAGGTGTAAAGACCAGAGTGGGATTCCTTATGTTCTCCTGTTCCCCATCCCCGATTCCATGATCCCAGCAGTGGGTAGAGCAGTAGCCTGAAGGCAGACAGATTAGGGTACAACCAGCTGAGCACAATTGAGACGTGACCTTGGTTGAGCTGCTTAACTGAGCCTTGGTTTTCTCCTCTATAAAGTGGGCCAGCAGCACACTGCCCCCCCGCCCCCTCCCTCACTGTGTGCTGGGAGGTTAAACAGCACTGTGCTCGGCCCAGTGGTTCTCTCACGCTGCCCATTGCTCAACTGAAAGAGCCAAGCTGAGGAGCTCAGAGAGTGAAGGCCCTGACTCAGAACCAGGGCTTTTGTCTCCCAAGCTTAAGAGTCTTTTTTTTTTTTTGGTACTGGGGATCGAACTTGGGACCTTGCGCTTGCGAGGCAGGCGCTGAAACCACTGAGCTAAATCCCCAGCCCATGCTTAAGAGTCTTTAGGAGTCGTCCGATCTGCCCACGGGCAATTCACTCAGCTCTGGGTCATTAACAGCAGCTGTCCAGGATGCAGGGCCTAACGGCCACCACGGAACTGTGCAGCCCCTCATGTCACGGATGGACCCCGGGCACAGAGGCATCGGGCGGCTCTGGTGGGTCTGGAATCCAGGACTCTGCTGATGGCACAGAGTCTGGGGACATCCATCCTTCCAGCCCCCCCCCCCCCCCCCCCCGCCACTGTCACCACTTACCTTGTCCAGGCCAAGGCTGCAGAACAACTTCTCCCTTCCCGAGCTACAGTGCTTCATCTCAGACTCCCAACTGACCAGAGATGCAGCACTGCACCTCAGGCTGGGGGACAGGGCCGCGCTGCTGGCGAGGTGGCTGGGCCGAGGCGACTCCTCCTGGCTGCCTCTCCCAGCCCTGCCTGGAGGCTTCTGTTGCTGCCCCAGCTGTGCTTCCTGTCCTTGGAGGCCACTGGAGCCCACTGAACCAAACCCCATCTTCCTTTCTCCCTCCTCGCAGTGCTGGTGATGCTAAGCTAGTGCTCAACCACTGAGCTGCACCTCCAGCCCTGCTGGCCTTTTCTCTTTCATTGCCATGGAGTCTACCCATGGAAAGTGCACAATTAAATAATTTGGTTTGCTGTTTTTTTGCAGTGTTGGAGTTTGAACCCAGACCCTCACACAAGTGCACACTAAGCATGTTCTCTAACCACCAAGCTACACTCCCTGCTCCTTCATTGGTTTTTAATATTCACAAAGTTGTGCAACTGTTGCCACAATTTTATTTATTTATTTATTTTTGGAACCGGGGATTGAACTTGGGACCTTGGGCTTTTAAGGCAGGGCACCAGAACCACTGAGCTAAATTCCCGGCTGTTGCCACAATTTTAGAATACTTCACCCCACCCATAACCGCTCCCTCCTCAGCTAACTCCAACCTGAGGTGGACCAGTTTCTGTCTCTAGAGATCTGTCTGTTCTGACCTAGCTTGTGGACCCCATGGCCCCATCCTTCTGCTTGGAGCAGCCAAATGGCACCATGGGACTTGACATTGTGTCCAGGGAGCACTTGCCCTACCTTGTCTCCCTTCCTCCACTCCTCCCTTCTTCCCACCCACCCTTCCAGACGCACTGGGAGGAATGGAAACAAGAGACCTCAAATGCAAACGTGGCCCTTTTTTGGATTTATAACCCCAAAGGGCTCCCTCTGCCCCAGGCTGACTCTGAACCCTCCCTCAGCTCGGAGGGCCTCTGCATCTGTCCCATCTGTCCCATCTGCCCCCAGGCTTCTCTTTTAGGCCACTGCTGCCCCATTTGCTGCTCCAGGCTCACACAGTCCCCTGGCTCCCCGGCCTCTCCTCTTCCTGTGTGCAGTGTCAGTTGAGAGGACAGCCTTTGGCTTCTTTCCACCTCGCGTCCCCCTGCTCCCGTGATCTTGCCCATACTGTGACTGCTCCATTCCCGTACTTTTTAAAGTTACATCCCCAGGTCCCCCACATCTCTGTTTCTTTTCTTTTCTTTTCTTTTCAGACAGAGTCTTCCTAAATCTCTAGTTGTCTAGGCTGGGCTCGAACTTGTAAGCCATCTGCCTCAGCCTCCCAGAGTGCTGGGATTACAGGTGTGTGGCACTGCACCTGGCCCTTTACCACTCTTTTTGGTTTTATTTTTTTGGTACCAGGGATCAAACTTGGGACCTTGAGCTTGCGAGGCAGGCGGCGGGACCACTGAGCTAAATCCCTGGCCCCTGGCCCTTTACCACTCTTGAAAGGCAACTTCACTTGTCGTGGACTGGTGGCCCAACCGTGAGGGAAAGAACGTGGTGAACCGGCCTCACCTCCTAAATCACAGCAGGCAGCGTGGATCACCCCTCAGCCTCAGGCTCTCTAGAATGAGAGTCATGGGCCTAGATTGGACCTGGTGAGATCTCCGGTTCCCTGAGGACAGAGCTCCATATCTTGTGGTCCCTAGACCTGGCTGATGGCTTTGTCCATGGTGAGTAACTGCAGGGGCGCCATGTATGGCAGGTTGAATGACCATGTAGACTAGTCACTTCCTTCTCTGGGCCTGGCTTGGGTGGGAACGTCCCCTCCCCCACTCCTGCCCCACCAGGCTCTCAGGGTGCCCGAGGAGCCTCCTGCTCTGTCTGATGGCGACCGTGGTGGCCTCAATGCCAGTGACCTACACTTTCAAGGATGTCTGAAGGGCATGGGCAGCCTTTCCTCAGGTCTGGGAAAGAAGAAAGAAAACACCTCCATTAAAAAAACAAAATGTCTCCCATGCCTACCTGCATCAGGAATCTGACCTAAGGCTCAATGCAGTCTCCGGGAGGAGTGGGACGTCTACCTCTAGTCTGTTGCTTGGGGCAGGTCTGCCGGCAGCTGAGGGGACAGCCTGCCAGAGGTATTCTCAGCCAAAGAACTCCCTTCCTCTTGCAAAAACTCTTGCACACTTGTTATCTCAGCACTCTGGGAGGCTGAGGCAAAAGGACTGCAAACTGGAGCCTAGCCTGGGCAACTTGGCAAGATACTGTCTCAAAATAAAAAAGGGCCAGGCCGGGGATTTAGCTCAGTGGTGCCACCGCCTGCCTTCCAAGCACAAGGTCCTGAGTTCGATTCCCTGGTACCAAAAAAAAAAATTAATCAATTAAAAAGGGCCAGGGTGCAGCTTAGTGTGAAGATCCTGGGTTCAATGCCCAGGACCATTCAAAAAAAAAAGAAAAGAAAAAGAAGAAAGAGGAGGAAGAAGAGGAGAAGAAGGGGGAGGGGGAGGGAGGGGAGGAGAGAAAAAGAAACCTTTCAAACTGGCCCTGGCTTGGCAGCAGTTCTAACCCTGGACTCGATTGGCCAGGTGGACGACCTGTGCATGCCGCTCCCCTGGCTCCAGCACCCGGGAGAGGAGGTGCTCGGCTTGACCCCTGAGGTGTGGGAGCCGGTGGTCTCAGCACTGAGTCACTTGAGGACAGAGTGGCTCTGGTGTTCTGTGTCACTTCGCTTTCCATGCTGCGTGGGCTGACACCTTCCTGACCCCTCTTACTGCTCAGGATCCTGCAAGCCACATGTTAGGTTAAAGCCTAACCACGTTGTTTCATTTTCACTGTATTTATTTCTACCTTTGGACTGTGCTATAGTTTTCATTTTATCATAACTGTTTCTATTTAAGTACTTGGAGGACTCATCTTATATTTTTAAATACTATGATTGTGTGCACAAATAAAAAAGGAGGCGTCTGAAGGGGTGGGTTTGGGAAACAATGCCCCATCCCATCGCATCTGAATCCAATAGCAGGTGAGGCAGGACAGTGATCACCTCCAAGGCGAGCTCAGGACGTTTCTACCTCACCTCGAGGGTGAAGGGCGCACAGACAGCAGACAGCTGACTCTGCCGTGGGAACAGGGCAGCAGAGGTGGCCATGCTTCTCCAGGAGAAAGTGACACTGGACAGAAGCTGTAATTCCTCTATGGCTGCGGTCTGAGCTGCCTAGTTCTGCTCCTCAGTACCAGAGCAATCACACAGGTGATGACTAGAACCAAAATGGCCACTTCTCGAATGGTTTCTTGTGTCAATCCCTGTGCGTCCTTAAGGCTCCACTGCAGGGGTGTTTTCTGAGGCCACAGAGCAAGGAGCTGTGCTGGGTTTCTTAGCTCAGAGTAAACAATTCCACACCCCCTCCATCAACCTCCACACTGGGTCTCTCCTCCCGGACCAGTTCCCCAGTCCTTTGGGTTTAGGACAGGGTCTTATCATTACACCTGGTCATTGAGCAAACCAAGTGCCTCTTCTGTGCCCAGGGAGATGGGGCTGAGCCTGGTAGTCAGGCTGAGGTAGAAGCAAAATGCCCTGTCCCACACCTGTAATCCTCGCACTCTGGGAGATTGGGGGAGGAGGATAGAAAGTTTGAACCCAGCCTGGGCAACTTAGCAAATTAGCAAGACCCTGTCTCAGAATAAAAATAAAAAAGAGCTGCAGATATAGCTCAGTGTGGAAGCCCTGGGTTTGATCCATAATACCAACCAACCAACAAGCCAACCAACCAAACCAAACCAAACCAAAACCAGAAACTGCTCTGAGCAGGGAATGGGGATAGACACAGAGCCAAGTAGGACAAGGAGAGCTCATGAAAGGACTGACAAAGGCTTGGAAGACAAAGAGGTCCTGTCCCTGGGGGAGCTGGGAAGGCTCCTTGGAGGAGGAAGTGCACAGTTGGTGGGGTGGAAGGAGAGATGTGGAGGGCGGACTGTTCCTGGCTCTTCAGCCCCTGGAACGCTTCCTTTGGGTCATGCATACTTGCTTGGATGGCCGATGGCACTTGTCCCAACCCCTGCCTCCTTCCAGTGAGGGCCTCCCTGAGCAGGGGGTCCACAGAGCTCCTGTCTCACTTACCCCACGGAGGCTCTTTCGTGCTCTGGGTCCCCAGTCAGAAGATGAGACAGGTGGTCGGTTGGAGTCCCAGGTTCTGTTGCCAGTTGGCACCACTATTTCTTCACTTTTCTCTGTTTCCCCTTCTATGAAAGGATGAGGCTGAGCCGGGTGGACCTTTTACCTGGAGGTTCAGGGAGGGCTTTCTGGCAGCCTGGAAGGCTGACCCCAGGGGACTGCCATTTCCCCCTCCCTTGCCCCAAGTCTTCAGGAAATGTCGCCAGCCAGCCCAGGATCCTCTGTCTTCTGTCTGGAAGCTCTGGAGGGGCGGGTGAAGGGAAGGAGAAATAAACAGTGGCTGTCTGGGGTTTCTCAGCCCAGGGTGAGGAGGCTCCTGGGCTCCTTCCCTTATATGGCAGGCTGCTCTGGGCCGGGAGTCCTCTGCACTCCCCACCTCTACTGCCACCCAGAGGACTGGGGGCCACCGCTGGTCACCTGGGCTCTGCTTCTGTGAGGCCAGGGCAGGACCAGGACGTGTCCCAGAAACCACCTGCACCAACCATCAGCTGTCTTGCCTCTGGCTGCTTGGGTGAGGGATGGGGAAGAGGAAACCCAGAGATAAGGGGACCCACCTGCTTCTGACTTAACTCCCAACTCCTGCTGTGACCCTGTCTGAGCCCCTTTCTTCTCTGGGCTTTCATTTTTCCCTCTGTCCGATGAGAGTATGGACAATGATGATCAATCCTGTTGGCCCTATGAAGCGGGAGCTTTCGCAGCCCTGTTTGGGAGAAGGGGAAATAGGCGTGAAGATGCTGTCATTTGACCACAGTGATCCAGCTGGAAAGGGAGTGGGGCAGGATGGGTACTGGGGGCTGTCTGACGTCAGGGTCGGGTTGGGTTCTTGCTACAGCTCCTCTGGATGGAAATATCCAATCCCTGTGGAGAAGAGATTTTGCTGGGGCCACTCCTGCAAAAGCCAGGGAAGCCCCAGGGCCCAAGCCCCAGTCCCCAGAGACTGACCCCTATGAACCACAGGAGCAAGGGCAATGGGTCTTTCATCGCTGTCCTCAGCTCATCAACTGGCCTGGCACAGGCTCAGGGCTCAGGAAAGGGTGTTGTGATGAAGAAACCCCAGAGGTCACGTTGGTTCCATGGGCACGGTCTCCTCCTCCCAGGCACCTTCTGAGGGTTAAGCCCAAAGATGCATGTGAAAGCACTGAGATGCTGCCCCCAGGTGGCCTCACCTTTTTGCCCAGTTTCTTTCCTCTGAAGTGCCAATTGGTGCTGTCCCTAGGCTGATGTCTCCTGATCTGCCCACTTCCGGCTCAGCCCAGCCGTGAGACTGTGGAGCCAGGGATGGGTATACCAGTCTGGGCCCAAGTCCCAGACAGGCAGTGGTGACTGCAGGAGAGGCTGGAGGAAGGGGGAGGAGTGGGGCAGTGGGGTGGGCTGGGAACACTCGGTAGTGGCCTCACACAAGCACTAACATCCTGTGTGCCCTGGAGGAGGCCCGGAGCCTCCCTCACTCCATCCATCACTGTGGCATCCTCTCAGGCCCCAGTCTCCTTCCTGGGGCTCAGGGCTGGGGCCTGGGGCCCAGGAAGATTGTCAGTGTGGCCGAGATTCTGCAGCTGGCGGCTCTGCAGGCCTGCTCAGTGTCGGAGCCGGACAGGCGAGGGAGGAGGCGCCTGCAGCCCTTCTAATCCAATTTGTTTAGATCCAGTCTCTGTGGCTCATTAGCTGGTGAGTAAGGACCAGGTCTGTGCACGTTTGCACACATGTGTGGGGTGTGCAGGGGTGAACAGGTGGGCCGTGTTATGTAAAGCAGGCCTGGGGCTTGTCCCACCTCCTCGGAGCATCCTCCTTGCTGGAGTCTGCTCCTCCACCCACCCTCCACTCACCTCCAAACCTTTCTTCCTTTTTTCCAGCCATGTGAGACCTGGTGCCAGAATGCCCCTCTGCTGCTGCCTGTCCCAGTGACTGAGTGAGTTCCTTCACTTCCCAGGCCTCAGTTTCCCCAGCTCTCTTAATGGGGCTGACACCTCATCCTGCCCTCTACCAGGAGCGTGAAGGCGCCTCTAATAATTGGCAAGCGTGAGAAGCATGGGCGGCAAAAACAACTGCTGCTCTTTCTTGAGCTTTGCAGCACACCTAGGACACAGCCCAACTTTGGGAGCCCCTCCAAAGCCCCAGGAGCCCATTGGTTACCAGCAGGCTCAGAGAGGCTGTGATTTGTCCCAGGGCCTCCTGTCTCCGGGTCTGGCTCTCTTCACTCTTTCTAGGGAAGATTGCTACCGTTCCCTCCATCTTCTGCAAGCTGCTCACTCATCACATCACACAGGCTTGCATGGGTCTTTCATCAGGAATGTGGGGAGGCAGAGACTCTCAGCTCCTGATCAGTTCTCCTTTCTTTGGTTTCATTGCTCAGCCTGCAAAGGCCCAGAATTGCCCACATTACCACCGTTCAACCTGGGCCTTCCTTTTCCTCGCTGTTCTGAGGCCTGGTGAGGGTCAGCATGGGGGGGGGGGTCCCCAGGTTCCCAGATACTCCGGGAGCTGCCTGAAGCAGGCGTGTGTGGAGGAGCTGGGGGACACTCACAGTTCTGCTGCCTGCCGCCCACTCCCTCCCTGGGAGGTTCCTGCTCTGGGCTTCCGCTCCTCCAACACCAGCCGGTGCCCTTCCCTGAAAGGGACAGAGATCCTGCCTGGCAGAGGGATGCGGGGCTGCTCTCTGGCCAGGGCCCTGGTCTCTGAGGACCCAGATGGGGCTGCCAGGCGTGGAGAGACCGAGGAGGGGCCCAGCCACTGCTGGCCCAGAACTCCCTGAGATTTTCCAGGCCCTGTGGAAGGGGACCCTCACGCCGGAGCAGCCACTGTCACTGCTATACCAGTTTGGCTCTCAAGGAGGTCTTCAGAGAAACTCTAGATCCGAGAGCAGCAGAAGTTCCTGACTAAAGAACCAGTCTGGCATGAAATCCCCCCTGGGCTTGTATATAAGGAGCCATTAGCCAGGGATTTAGCTCAGTGGTTTCGCCACCTGCTGTGCAAGCTCAAGGACCTCAAGGAGTTTGATCCCCTGTACCAAAAAATAAAAAAAAAAGGAGCCATTTGGGGTCCAAAAACCAATCCCCAGAGGTCTGGGGAGCTGTCACCTGAGCACCCCGCCCAGAGTCAGAGAGGATGTGCATCTGCCTTTGCCTGGTAGGGTCACCTGCTGAGAAGTGCCGGAGCAGACTGGGACCCAGGCTCTGTGTGCTCAGTCCAGCTGCCCCTGAGCATGGGCAGTGGCTGGCCAGGTGACCCTGAGACAATGCTCACATTGTTACAGTCACTGCAAAAGCCTAGTGGGCTCTTCTGTCCTTGCTTGTTTCCAAGAAACATGAGGGAATGGGAATGGGCCACATCTGTGAGCCAGATGGCCTGCAGTCTGGGAGGACAGAGGCCAGGGCTCTGAGCAAGCCTAAGGCCCAGGCTCACACCTGGTCGCATGGCCACCACCCTGGCCTCGACTCCTACACATATGTGTGAGCTCTCCAGCCTCTGCTCGCCTTGGCCTCCAGGGCCAGTTTCCATCACAGATTTGGAAAGAATGAAGAAGACATGCCCTGCTCACACCTCTAGAATTAACTGGCTGTGTGATGTAGGATCAGGGTCTTCACTTCTCTGGGCCTTGTTTGTGAAGGCCAGATGAGGTGGACGTCAAGGGCCAGCAATCTGAAGCTTGTGATAAATAAGCCAGAACAAACGGCTGCAGTGCCCGTTTATTAGCGCATGTAGGGTAGAGGCAGGAAGAGCAGCAAGGAGGCAGAGATGAAGGCCTGCAGCCCTCGGTCGGGACAAGATGTGGAAGCTGGCTGTGGAGCTGCTGTCTGGGCCCCTCCTCATGTCCCCTCTGTGCACAGCTGCCCTGGGTCTCTGTTCCCAGAGCGTCCTCTGCCCATCACCCACACCGAGTTCAGCAGCCTCACACGCTCCCCACTTCCTCCCCAGGGAAGGGTGCTCTGGCTTTGGAGCAAACCCTGGGAATGCAGTTTGAGGTCGAAACCAGGGGGCGGGGGGAAGCCAGGGAAAGAAGAGGGCTGGCAGGCGAGGCTGCCCTAGACCCCCTAGGCCATGTCCCAGGAGCTCAGCCCTGGGAGGTGTCCTGGGAGGGACCTAGAGACAAGCGTTCCTGCAGTTCCTGTCACCCTGGGCTCCCAGGGAGGGCAAAGGCTGCCAAAGAGTGTCCCCAAGCTGTCTTCCTCTGTACCCAGCTCCTTGGGCCCACCCTAGCCACGGCCACCACTGGCGAAGCGCTGGGACTCTGGATGCTCCGCCCTTTGCCATGGTTTCTTCACCTGACTCACAGTCACTTAAGAGTTAGGCACCACTCTGCCTGCCCTCGTCTTACAGATGAGGACACTGAGGCTCTCAGAGCTGACAGCACTCCCTTGGCCACATAGCTACTAAGTGTCAGATCGGGACTGGTTCCAGGCAGCCCAAAATGCATGTTCATGGCTCCCCTTGGAGCCCAGATTATTTATGGATTATTTTTATTTTTAATTAATTTTTTCTTGGTTCTGAGAATAGAACCCAGGGCCTTGCACAAGCTAGGCAAGCACTCTACCACTGAGCTACATCCCAGGCCCTTTTTTAAAATTTTGTTTTGAGACAGTATTTCACTATGTCACCAAGACTGGCCTTGGACTTGCAATCCTCCCGCCTCAGCCTTCGGAGTAGCTGTGGTTACAGGTATGTGCTGTTGTGCCTGCAATATGGCATCATTTTCAGAGTGATAACCTGAGTCAGTGTCTCATGGCATTTTCCAGGTATGTGTTTGCCTTCATGGAGAGGGGCTGTGAAAAGAGAAAGCATTTTTAGTCTAAGCAGAAGCCTCCTGGGCCCTGGCAAAGGCTGCACGTCAGTAGAATCAAGGGGGTTTCTTATTTTGGTTGCTGTTCTGCCTGTGCCATAGTATCTTTCCCTTGCCCGCTGTCCAGTTGATAGAAAACAGCAAACCAAAAGCTACCACCAAGATAAAGGAGTTGGTTCTGCCTTCTGTCCTGTCTGCTTTGCGAAGAGCAGGGAGCTCCAGGATTTGGGGGCTTTGCTCGGATCGGTGAGACTTTCTGGGTAATAGGGATCTTGGTTTCTTCTGGAATGTGTTGGGTGGGAGGGGTAGCAGGCTAGGTACCCGGTCTCCCACAGACACATACACTGTGTGACCATGGACAAAGGCCTTGCCCTCCCTGGGCCTCAGGGTCCGTGTGCACGCACGTGCGCATGTTTGTATGTGATGTGGTAGGGAGAGGACTGGACCTTGTGGGGTGTCCAGGGCCCTCCCAGGTCAGATCCTGACCTCATCTCACTCCTCATTGCTCACCCCAAAGCTGGGATCCAGTGACCAGGATCAGCTGAAATTTCTGCACCAGGACTTGGAGTCTTAGAGCACTTGTGTTGGAAGCATCCTAGGCTACACCCATCATTCCCTGAGGAAACTGAGGCATGGAGAGGAGACACAACAAATTCCTGGTGATGCATGCAGTCAGAGGCCCAGCTGGCCCTCCAGTAAGTGCCCTGACCTCCTCTACTCACTGAGGGATCCTAATGGGTCAGATGTTAACGGAGGGGCCCCCGAGGAAGGTGGGAGAGAAGAGGCCTTTAAATTCTTTTGGCTTTGAAGATGGAATAATCCTGACTTCCTTCTCCAAATAATTTTTGGCCCTTCCTAGAACCAGATGGCGGATGTTTGGAATTTAGGTTGTAAATAGTGTTTGAGAAGCGGGTGGGGGTGCTGATGTGTTACTTTCTCCAACCGCCAGAAGGGAGATCTGAAGGAGGGACACGGGGGAGGGAGGCTGACTATGAAAAGATTTGAAGAGAAGGGAACGGGAAGGAAGAGAGGGAAGAGGGGAGGTGCAGGGGAGGGAGAGAAAATGGAAGAGACACTTTTGGAGTGAGCTGGAGAGCCAGGCAGCCAGGGCTGGAGTGGGGAGATGCAAGGAGGAGGAGAAGGAGGAGGGGGAGGGGGAGGGGGAGGGGGAGGAGAGGAAGAGGAGAGATGGGGAGGGGCTGGGGTGCAGGCACAGACAAGCTTCATCTTGCGAACCCTTGAGTTTTCTAAAAATAGCTTAGCCTTTCTCCCAGCAGGGCTGGCAGCAGGGAGCAGGGGAGGCCCACTTGTCCTTTTATGGTAAGAAAAATCCAGCTCCTCAGAGGGGAGCTGGGCTGGGGCCTGTAATTCTGATTGAAGCCCAGCCTTGGGGTCTGGGGGGGACTAGGTGGGATTTCCTGGCCAGGGTCCTCTACTGTTGATAAAGAGCAGGAGGAAGCCGAGGCAGCAGGGGCTGCCCAGGGAAGCCCCGTGGTCCCGGTGGATCCCTAGTGCTCGTGCTCGGGAGGAGGAGCTTATAGACATCTGGTGCACAGGAAACTGAGTTCCAGACGGCGCCGCCGAGAGAGATTCTAGGCTCCCCGAGCAGGATTTTGACCCATCAAGGTAAATCGGCGACTGGGTCTGCTTGTGAGTGGCTTTTGTGTCCACTACTACTACTGTGGAGGGAAGTGTGGTCAGTGGAAAAAGCCCTGATGTGGGTGTCAGGAGACCCAAGATCAACTTCTAGCCTGGGCATAGCTCACTGTGTGACCTGGAGCCATCTGCTGACCCCTTCTTATCTCAGCTTCTCTCACTGGGGTGATGTCAAAAGGTTGCCCAGGTTTTCCTCTCTCTGGGAATTTATAGCTGGAAAGTGAAGCTTGGGCTTAGAATACACAGGCAGCTGTTCTCTTCCTGGGCCAAGCTGGCTAAGTAAAATCTAAGATGGTTGGAGACAGATACAGAGGAGGCCCAATGGGGCAGACTGTGGATCAAATCCCCAGCTTCTCTTGCTGGTCTGGCCCTGCCCCTCATTCCACACATGGAGGCCAGAGGTCATGTTCAAGGTCATCTGGAGAGTTGAGGCAGAGCCAAGAATAGAACCCAGGGCCTCAGGTCCCAGCCTTGGGCTCTCTGCTCTTTGGGAGGCCTCCCACTGCAGTCCCCATGCTGTTGGCAGCTGCCTCTGGCCATGTAAAGGGCTCCCCGTACAGTCTGCCACCTTCCAGCTACCTCTGACCCCAGAGCCTGGCAGGCACCACCCTCAGTGGTGAAGAGTGTAGCACCTGCCTAGAAAGCAAAGACGAAGCAGAGGATGAAGCCACTCTGGCACGGTGGATTTGGGGAAGGCTCTGCTCACCACCAGGGCTCAGTTTCTTATCTGCGACCTGAGGGCAGAGGCTCAACTCACTCTGAGGCCCCTTTAGCTCTGGAAGAACTAAGATGCTATGAGTTTAGGGTGAATCCCAGGAACATTTATTGAGCATCCACCAGGTCCCCGGGGTGAATGTCATGGGGACAGCAGTTCACTTTAGCTTTACCGCCAGTGTGAGGCAGGAACTCCCCAAATGCCCATTTCCGGGACCCTTCTGTCTCTATTCTAGGACCCCTGGCTGACTGTCTGAGCCTGGCTTGAAGCTAGGCTCAGGCAATGCTGGGCACAGGTGTCCAGGGCTGCCTGCTCACCTGCTCAGTGTTCATGCCCATTGCCCTGGCACCCTTATCAGGCCTGGCACACCCCTTGCCTTGTCTCAAATTTCTGTCCACATCCCTGGGTCCTGGAAGGAGAAGGATGCCCCAGTCAGCACCGCACCCCCGGTCTCTCTGGGCTCTGTCTTCTGTGACTCATCCATTGAGAAGAGCTACTTTCTTTTCCAGTCTCCTGTGACACCCCACCCCCTGCTGGGGTAAAGCATCTTGGTTCTAAATTAGAAGCTGCCCAGTGACCCTCCTGGAATTTCCACGCAGACTCTCTGGAGCGTGTGAACAGGGCTCCAGGGAGCTCAGCCCGCTCAGGCTCATTGCTGCAGGGCTGAAGGCCAGCAATTGAATGGTCCCCTGGGACTTCTGCCTCACAGTCAGATTCCAGGTCTCCTGGGAAGGGCAGTAGGCAGCAGTGGGGTGACAGGAAGTGGGAGGTAGGGGCCCCAAGAGATCCCTGGGCAAAGTCAGGGCAGCATTGACGTCACACATCAGGCTGGAATCTGACATGCAGGCTGCTGGGGAGGTGAGCAGCCCAACTGTCCCACTGCAGCTACATCTGGCACGTGAAGCTCCAGGCAGGTGATAGGAAAGGTCACAAGGCCTCTGATGCCTGCCTCCTCACTATGGCATCCCTGCTAATCTTGCACACTTTTTGTGGCGGGGAGCTCACCACTTCCAAATCACCTTATTCTGTCTCCCACACACAGGCTATTGGAGACTCCTTCCTAACACCCGGCTGCTATCTGCCTCTCTGGCTTCTCCTGCCTCTCTTCTGGGGCTGTAAACTTCCTCAGAAGGCTTTGAGAGGTTGGAAGTTGGTGACTGCAGCCCTTGGGCTTCCTACCTCTCCTAACCATGTGGTCCCCTCTCCCCACTGCTTGACATCTGAGGATTCCCAATGTCGAGATTCTCAGGACTCCACTGATGGGGGCTCTTGGCTGATGGATTTTTGGGGAAAGGAGACAAGTAGGTTAAAGAAAAGGACTGAAAGATTCCAAAGAGAACTTTCTACAACTCCTTCCTCTTCCTCCTCTTTCTCCTTCACCTCCTCCTCCTCCTTCTTCGAGGTACTGGAGAATGAACCCAGGCATTTGAGCTACATCCTCAACCCACTGTATTTTTTATTTTTGAGATAGGGCCTCATGAATTTGCTAAGTTGTCCAGGCTGTGCTTGAGCTCTTTATCCTCCTGCCTCAACCTCCCAGATGCAGACGTGCCTCACCATATTTGGCTTTGCCCAGCTTCTGAGGCCTTGGTTCCCAGTTGTCTAAGCCACTCCACAACACAGGCCTTTAGGATTTTGTCAACCTCCGAACTTAAGGTCAACACTGGGTTCCAGCCAATGGGCTTCTGCATTGTTCTCTGCAAACGTCTTTGTAGTCCTCCCTCTCTACCTTTGCTTTCCGGACTGTCCACCTGGCTGTGCTCCTCGCCATCTGTCCAGGGCATGCTGCTGCCCTCACTGCCTCCACCCACAGCCTTGTTAACCTCTTGGGAAGTCTTGGCATCCACCAGCACACATGACATGACCCGAGCTATCCCCCTTCCATCCCAAACAGTGGGCCTCAGGCCTGAAGGGCTGGGGTGGGGTGTGGGGGCACTTCCTCAAGTCTCAGAGGATGCCAGGACTCAGCTGTCTCTTTCTTCCTCCCCATCTCATTCATGTATCTCAGTGGCTGCCCTCAGCATCTGGGGGTTGCTGGTCATGTGTCCGAGGTTTGGCTGGCTCTGAGAATGCTGACCAGAGGCCTCTGAGCCAGGCAGCACAGTCTAGGGCGGTGCCGTGGTCTCTGCGGCTGCCACTGTGAGGCCAGCCGGCCCCTTCTGGAGACTTTGCCCCATCAGGAGCAAAGGAAGAGATGAGGGGCGGAAGTTAGTGGCAGCTGGGCAACATCCCTATTAAGCCTGTGGGTCCAGTGTGCTTTCCAGGTTGGAGCTTCCCTCCCTGAAGTACAGCTTGGGTCCAAGGAGGGCTCTCTGAGGCCTAGGGGTCTAGGCTTGCAGCAGGGTGGGGCTCCTGGGGAGGGGCCAAAATATGGCTGTTGTCCTCAGTCTTGGTCTAGCCCACTTCTTCAAGTCTCTGACAGGTTGGGGGCAGGTGACAAAGGGTATCCCAGGGCTGATGAGGCCCCAAGTGGACTTGGCCCACCCAAACAACACCCCTGTTTCACAGCTGAGGCACAGAGGGTCTCTCTGTAGGATGCCCAAGGTTCCACAGCTGCTGCGAGGCACATGCAGGATTCAGCTCAGGCCCCCACCTCGAACCTTTGGCCTACCGTGTCTTTATCTCACTCTCAGCACAGCTGGATGTCCACATGCTCCCTTCATCTCAAGACATGGGGAGAGAGAGCCTGGTTCTAGACTCAGCCTTGTCTCCTTGGCTAACAAAAGCGGAGCCTGAAGAGGTCCAGCTTGCGGGCTGGGAAAATGGGTGTCTGTGCTGCAAAATGGGGCATGGTCTGAACCGGAGAAAAGGCTTCTGGTGGGGAAGTGCTGCTGCCAATGAGCCTCTTTTGCAATCAGCGAGTGGCTGTCCTGAGGCTCCCGAGATGTGTGGTGAGGCCAGACTGATGACCCCATGGGGCCTGTCTAGACAAGCTGTTAGCTGCCGTGGAAGCTATGGTGGGCTCTTTCTCCGACTCCTGCAGCTCACTGCCCCAGGCAGCTCTGATCAGACTGTGGAGACTGTGTACTGCTCGGGTGGGGGGCCACGTGGGTAGGGCCCACTCCCACTCCAGGGCCTGCCAAGTGTCCATGATTCAGAGGCTTAGCCACTTGGCACATGTAAGGCCGATTTCTAGATGCCCACATGGACAAGAGTGGAGCATCTTGCAGAACACACACAAGCATTTTATTTCCAGTTCTTCCTTCCTTTTAGGGGTAGGTGCTAGGGACAGAACCCAGAGCCTGGCTCATCCTAGGTAAGTGCTCCACCGCTGAACTACACCCACAGCCCTTTCCCTTACAGTGTTTATTAGAGAAACGTGACACATATGAAATAAAGTGGGTAACACACACGCTTCATGAACTCTGGTCCTTTCTAGCATGGTCAGGAAGAAGGGAATGCCATATACTGCTGGGGAGTGGGAGGAGGTTCACTTGGCCACTCTGGAAAATAATCAAGTAGTTTCCTGCACACACCCAGTAATCCCGAGACTGCGGCTTCTGTGCACCAGGAGATGAGCACAAAAATGGACATAATGCAGAAACTCCTTTATAATGGATCTTTGAACCACTGGAAGCCCTGATCAGGCCCACAGACCATTCTGTTGGACAATGGCAGGAGGAGGAAGAGTCCAGCAGAGCCCAGTGTGGGGACCTCAGAGACCATCTCAGGGAGCCCCTGGGGTACACGGCAGTGACAGCTCAGGCCTTGAACCTTCCACTCCTCAAGACTTTGTGCATTTCATCTGCTCTTCCCCAGAACTGGCCCAGGAGGAAAAGGCTGCTTTAGTCCTCAGGGTCTCTGTGCGGAGCAGCAGATGAGGTGGCCTCAGAGCAAGAGGCTTGGTCAAGCCCTGGGTGCCCCTCTCTGACTTAGTCTTCTCCAGAGGGTGAGGTGGGCTTCCTTATCACTGCACCCATCTGGAGACCCTTAGCAGGCAGGAGAAGGGCATATGGGTTGGGGCTCCAGGCTGGGGTCAAATCCCCCTCGCTATATTTGAGTTATGTGACCTGTGGCAAGCTATAATGGCTTCCTTCTTTATACACCGGTGATGACATGGTCATGCTGATTCCTTCCTCTTAATAATCCTGAGAATTTCAAATGATAACACAAATGGTTCAGCCCAGTACCTGGCTCCTGGGAAGTTTCCCATCCATATTTTGTCCCCTTCTACCAGGTATATTGAAGGTTCCTCGGGAATTTCAGGGTGGGTGAGGGGCAGGGCAGGAGCCCAGAGACTCCTGGGGAAGATAGCATCCTGGGGAAGCACACACAGTATCTAAGTTTAACAAGTAATGGTGTGATCTTAGGCAAGCTACTTAACCCTTCTGCACCTCCACTATCTCATCTGAGCAATAGGGATACTTCCACCTACTTCACAAGGTCTCGTGAGGATTAAATTAATTAGTTCATATAAAGACACTGAGTAGTTCTGGGATCGCCTCTATGCCATGCAAAAGAATGCAATACATTTCTCCCTAATTGTACCATCTCCAGGAACCCCTGGCAGGGCAGAGATTCAGGTCCTGTTCCCTCTGCCATCAGTCACTGTATAACCTATGGCTGTACATCCTCTTGGGTGCTTCAGCTGCCCTGGGTCTGTTGAGGGTCCTAGGATGCTCTACAGCCCAAGCCATGAAAGGTCCTGGGGTCTAGCCTGGAGATTCCTGGGCCCTGCCTGGGGTCCCTGCCCCTGAGTGTGCAGTGCTTGGGCCCCACATCCTGGAGATACCTGATCCGCTTGTGCATGCAGGGATGGGGCCACACTTGGCTCTTAGAGTCTCATACTGACTGCCCTTCACCCCTCACCTCTGCTTCCAGATTCACCTTCCCTCTTCCTGCCGGAGCTGGTCCTCCCCTCAGTGGCCCCATTGTTCCATGCCTCAGTCTCATCTCTTCTTCCCTCTAAACATGGCTGCTGTCATCTTGCCCCACAAGAGGTATGGAGCCTCATGGTCCTGTCACTCCAGACCCTGCTGTAAGGGGAGCATGTCCCTCACTCCTCATGATAGACACAAGGGGTTAGAATCAGGACTGTACTCATTCCACAGAGGAGGAATTGAGGCTCAGATGGCAGGGGACTTGCCCAGGGTCACTTTGCTTGTAAGTAAACAAGCCAGGATGGGGGCCTGTCAGTTGGATTCTAGGATTCTGGATTATTAAAGTGTTGAGCTTTGCGTGCCTAGAAGCAAGAAGGTAAAGGCCCTAGAGAGGCTGGCACTGGAGGACTGGGCTCTGTTCCTGCATGTGGCCAGAATGTGTTCAGAGGAGGTGAATACTGCCGTGCGCATCTGCATTCCCATCCGGAGCCCTGCCTGACAGGACCCCTGGTGCCCATCTGCCTCCTGCCTTTCTCTGTGGAGTTCAGCCCTACATCTCACCTCCTGAGCCCCCTGCAGTCACTCTCCCCCATTCTGCCTCCAGTCTGGCACCGCTGTGTGCCTGAGTGCAGAGAGCCGCCCTTGCCCACCGAGCTGAGTCCTGGGGAAGATAGTCCCATGGCCTGGGGCAGACACCCTGCAGTCACTTTCCTTCACTTTCCTGGGGCTTTGGGCATCTGCTCAGGCTCTGAGCCCATGATCAAAGGGCAGGCTCAGCTCAGGACCTTTTGGCTCAGCTCAGGGACACTGGCTTCTGGTAGGCTCAACTGGCTCAGAAGCCACATCCTGTGTAGAGACCTCCTAAGACAGATAAGGAAGCACCGGAGGGACAGTGACCGCCAGAGCCACAGAGCCAGGCACCAGGAGCAGAGCTGGGTTGGAGCCCTGGCCCAGGCTCCATGCACAGCTAACTCAGCTCCTTCCTTGTTCTCTGGTTTCTTTCAGGAGCCCACGCTCACATCACTTCCCTCTAGCTATGTTTCTCGAAGCCATTATTTGAAAACTATTTTCCTTACCAGGAGCCCCAGGCTCTTAGAACTGAAACCAAAACCTCACACAAGAAGGGAGAGCACTGTCCACATAGAATCCCAAACTTGGGCACAGAGGGCAAGTTTGGGCATTGACTCCGTCCACTCCCTCTGCCTCTGTCCCCATGGTACCGCAGCAACACGAAGACCTCAGAGCCAACAGAACTGTGGATTAGAGCCATCAGCCTGGATGAACGCTTAGAGATCATCGAATCCAACCCCTGTCCAGATAGGGAAACTGAGGCCCAGAGAGGCAGAAGGCACAGAGCAGTTAGCAAGAAAGCAAGGACAAGACCTCCAGATGCAACCTCCTGGGGAGGAGGATGCACAGCCCCGTTCATGGCCCCGTGTCTCAGCTCATTCTTACCTCGCCTGGAGTCTGGTCCAGGTGTGGCTTCTTGCGCCTGGCGATGGGGGGCCAGCCTGTGTGGGGAATGGTTGGGGGTATCACTGCTTCACGACTAACTTGACCCAGCCTCTGGCACCCCTCACTGCCACAGGGGCATTTTTAAGCGACTGGCACTGGACCCCCTCCCCTTAGCCCCTTGCCCGCGGCTCCCTGGCCACAGAGGGTTCTCTGCCTTTTACCTTATAAGAGCTAAAGAGGCGAGCCTGGTGCTGGGGAGAGGTGGGTGCGGAGTCCTCCCGGGGTCCCCCATTGGCCCAGGAGCCCAACACGTGACTGCCTCGCCTTGACCTGCCCCTAGTGCCGAATGTTGCTTTTACCCCCTAAGGAAGGAGTGGTTGACAATTTTCATATTTCTTCTAAATTTGGAGATTTCAGACAATGCTGGGAGGCTTGGCTCCAGCCGCCAGAGGCCCATGTGGAAGTCATTAAGCTCCAGGAGGGGGCAGGGGGAGAGAGGGAGGCAGGGCGAAGAGGAGGAGGAGGAGGAAGAGGTGGGGGACGAGCTCTGAGGGCTGCCAGTTGTCAGCCTGGGAACACGAGCAAACTCCCTGGGAGAAAGCTATGTGTGAGAATCTCCTTCCTCTCCTGGCTCCCGAGTCCCAGGAAGGAAGTGAGAGTTCTGAGACTTTCTTGGAATCCCCAGTGAGGAAGGCATCAGTCTCGGGGTCCTGGGGGTGATGGGGATAGCAGGGCATGGGAGACCACGGGGGAAGTAAGTTTCTTGGATGGCCATCCTTGTCACTGTGCAGAGGAGGCCCAGGCCCCCCCACAGCGAGGCTGCCATAGACAGGGCAGGGGCTGGGATCATGGATGTCCTATTGCAGGCTCTTGTTCCCTGAGGAGTGAGTATCTCTCACCATAGAGGCCTTTCTTATTGTGCTTTGGCCACCTTGACCTCCTATAGATGCCTTAGCTTTTTTTTTTTTTGCCTCAGGGCCTTTGCATATACACATGCTTTCTGTCCAAAATGCTCTCTTCCTAGAGTGAATCATGCCCAATTCTTTTTTTTTTTTTTTTTGGTACCAGGGATCGAACTTGGGTCCTTCTGCTTGCAAGGCAGGCGGTGGAACCACTGAGCTAAATCCCCAGCTCTAATCATGCCCAATTCTTTCCCCTGCTCCTATTCCCGGTTCAACTGTCACTCTGGGCAGAGCCTTCCCCCAGTCACATCCCTGTTCACCACAACTCCTGCTCACCTGACAGGACTCAGCACGCATGTGCTCACCTGGCATGCTTGCTCGTCTAGTTCCTTGCTGTCCATCTCTTCCGTGAGAACATGGCTCCCTGGGCAGGGTCTACATCTCCAGGCTTCCCACAGCGCCTATAAAGAATGGTTCAGTAGCAGCCACTTGCCAAGAAGCTGCCACACTGAGGCCTGCAGAGCTCCTCCCAGTGGCCGGCCATGCCTTGCACCGAAGGTGTGGAGAGCCAGGTCAGATATGGCCCTGGCCTTAAGAGGCCCCATCCAGCCAGGCATGGTGGCACGTGCCTGTAATCCCAGCTTTCTGGGAGCCTGAGGCAAGAGGGGACCCTGTTTTAAAATAAACAACAAAAAAGGGCTAGGGCTGTAGCTCAGTACGTAAGCCCTGTGTTCAATCACCAGTACCCTTCCCCCGAGAATTGTGAGTACAAGAGCCCAACATACAGCGGACTTGTCATTAACATCACCTCCTTCTTTCCTGAACCCCAAAGACAGATTCCATACATGTGCACAACCCTGGAGCGCAAGTGAAAGGGCAGGAGGCCCGTAACCCCCCACTTCCTGCCTGTGCGATGTGTCCCAGTTTAATACTCGGAAGTGCCACCAAAACAGCCCAGGGCACAGGTGAAGTGAGCCCAACGGAACCACCATGGAGATTCCACTGTGCAGACAGAAACTGAAGTTATGCCAGTGTCTCAACATCCACACCCAAGATGCTTCATCATAACAGATGCAAGCTGTGGAGAGACCCATTTTAACAACCCAAGAGCCCCGACCTGCGGAGGACTCGAGTCAGCTCCGTCTGGGAGTCAGTGGGCTTGGTTAAGAGAGGTCAAGGCAAAGGACTGGAGAGACCTGCTGCAGGTCGCAGGAGGACAGAAGAGGGGTATCCCCCACACCAAAATATCCCCAAAGAATAACTAAATGACAGCCTTTCAGGACTTGGGCTCCATAAATTTGTCTCGAACATTTCAGAAGCAGTTTTTCTTTCTGTCTGTGTGGTCTCTTGGGATTTCTGAGCACTTTACATCTATGAGCCACTATGTGAAGGGGCTTTTCCTTCCAGACTGTGAAGAAGCAGCCCTGAGCCCCCTCCAATCCCCGGGGGAGACAGGGCCGCAGCCTTAGTCTGTGTGAGCAGGGATTCATGGAGGTAAGGGGAGACTCTCGTTAGGAGCCAGGTAGGAGAGTGTGTTTGCCTTGGAGAGTTCTATGTCCTCAGAAGGTGGCAGTCAAGGGAAGAGGGACCCATCCAGGAAGGCGAGGGGAGCTGGAGAAGAGACAGCCACCTGACCCTCTACAGGGTAACCAGACCTCCATGTAGCCAGGCAGGGTGGCACCTGCCTGTAATCCCAGCAACCTGGGAGGCTGATGCAGGAGAACTGCAAGTTGGAGGCCAACCTAAGGGACGAAGGCCTGGTCTCAAAATAATTAAAGAGGGCTGGGAATGTAGTTCAGTGGTTTAGCAACCTTGTGTTCAATCCCTAGCCACACCCCCCTCAAAAAAGCTTCAGTTGGTACGGTGGGAACCTTCAGGAAGGTGGACTCTACACCCGCATAGGAATGACTGAATCAGTGGAGACATGCGGGGTGAGATGGGCCAAGGGGCTCTCTTGGTAAAGTGGTAGGTCGTGCAAGCAGAAGCTGGTTGACAACTTGGCAAATCCTTCCATCCCTGAGACCCCACAAACTTTACCTCATACCTTGTGTTCTGTCCCGTCTCTAGCCCTGACTTCACACCCATTCTGTCCAAAAGACACAGCTCAGAGGGGCTCAGCTGGTAAACAATTATGTACTGGACTAGGCCGTAACCCTTGTGTTAAAAATTAAGCTCCGCATGTTCTTTTCAAAGAGCACAAAACGTGTTGATGGAGCTTGAACCTGGGAGGTAAATTCATAAACAATTACTGATGAAATTCTTACAATGACTTGCCTTGTGAGCCAACCAATTTCTCAGAAGCAGCATGCCCCTGAAAGCTGTCCACAACATATTGTCGAGAGTTGTATTTTTTTAAAGCATGGTGCAAAAGATACGTGGTATTATCCTGCCGAAGTAAAATGAAGTGTCTGTGTATGGGGTGGGGGAAGTAAGGGTACAACAGTTGCCCTGCTGGAGGTTGGATTTGTGGTTTTTTTCTCTCCTTTAGTTTGCTGTCCAGACAAGCCAGGACAGAAAGCCACCATGGTCTGCCCGGGAACACAGGGGAGCGTGAGCTGCTTTTTGTCCTGGGAGAAGATGTAACAAACCTTTGTGTGGCTTTCCGGGGAGAGACAGCTATGGAGGCAGAGGGAACAACAGTGCAGCACAAGTCCTCCCCAATCTTTGTGACAGCCTGGTGGGCAATGCTGGCAGGAAGTGGGAAGGGCTTGATTAAAGGGCCCTCCAGTTGGCTTGCGGCCTTTCTCTGTTCTGGGGGAATATTGGCTTCCACCCCTGTGGGCGTTTTTGGAGTTGTGAACTTGACCCACAACTTGGGATATTACCACGATGAGCTCTGCTCGTCACTCAGCTTTCCCACCACAGTTAGCGCCTTAATATTGGACCAGGTGGGACTGGTTGCTGCTCCCACCCAAGACACCAGTAAGGACCAGGGCCCTTGAGTGAAGAGGGAGGTGGTGAGAACCAGGGAGAGAACTGCTGGGCTGGGTCTCTCCCTTCCTGCTGTTACCAGTGGGCATTTGAACCTTCAGGACCAATTGGGCCACAGTAAAGGCACCTGAACTGTGGGTGTGCATGTAATTGCGTGTGTGTGTGTGTGTGTGTGTGTGTGTGTGTCAAAATGCAGTTTGAAAGAACATGTGGAAGAATGTTCAAAAAATAAGAACAGAGGTTGGTGTCTCTGGGTGATGGAAATTTGGGAGATTTGGGCTTATTTCATGTTATGGTTTATATGTGGGTATACCCAAGAGCCTCCTATACTCACACGTGGGGCTTTTGGAAGGTAGAAGGATTATGAGAGCTTACAGCTGACCTACTACTGTTGGGAGGTGGGGTCTGGTCAAACAGGTGATCACTGTGGGCATAGCCTGGAAGGATCTCTCTCCCTTCTTGACTCCTCCTAAGCTCTCTCTGCTTCCTGTGTGTCATCCTTGAGCAGCTCTCCTCTGCCAGGCCACCCTTGGAGCCCGTGGACTATAGACTGAAACCTCTACAAACCGTGAGCCAAAAGAAACCCTTTCTCCTTTCATTTGTTGGTGTTGGGTATTGTGTCTGAGCAATGAGGAAAGTGACTAAGACACTTCATTATAGTTTTGCGTATTTGATTTTCCCCCAATTTCTATTGGACAGTCATTTTTTTTTACTATTACGAAAAATGTCAAGATCGCCTTTAAAAAGGCACACAAGTCCTTGATAGCTTACTTTGTGTTAGAACTTAGTAGTGTGTAAAACTGAAAGTGTAATGTAGTGTTCCACGTGTGATGACGTGGTACTAGCCAGGGTCCGGTTATAGGAAGCAAACCATTCCTGTTCATTGAACAGAACGGGAATTGGGTGCTCACACCATTGGGAAGCCTGGGGACTCCGGCTCTAGGCAGGATTCCTGGGAATGACTCAGATAACACTACAGAGCTCTCCCACCGGGGCCGCTGCCACCTCCACTACCATCAGAAGGTGGTGGGCCATGGTTAGTTTTACGTATCAACTTGACTAGGCTAAGGGATGCCCAGGTAAACACTGTTTCTGGTGTCTACCAGAGTGTTTCTGGAAGCGATTGGCGTGTCACTCAGGAGACTGAGAAAAAAAGACGCTCCCTCAGCTAATCCACAGAGAGCTTGAATGAAGCAACAAAGCAAAGAAATGACAAAGTCTTTCTCTGTGGTATTTATTTATTTATTTATTTGCAGTACTGGGGTTCAACCCAGGGGCACTGTACCACTGAGCTACATCCTTGGCCATTTTTATTATTTTGAGACAAAGTCTTGCTAACTTACCAGCCTGGCCTTGAATTTGTGATCCTTCTGCCTCAGCCTCCTCCTGTTCTTGAGCTGGGACATCTACCTCATGCCCTCAGATGACAGAGTTACCAATTCTCTGTCCTTTGGCCTCCAGGACTTATAGCAGCACCTCCCCTGGTTCTCAGCCTTTGAACATGGCTGAGTCATGCTAGCAGCTATCCTGGGTCTCTCCTGCCAGATGGCAGATGG